TTTAAAATAAAAAAGCAGGCCAAAAGATTAAATCTGATTAAACGGGGTTCACAATAACCACGTTTGTCACTTAGATAAATTTTATCTAAAAATATATATATTTTAAAGTTTCTTAGTTTTCTATCTTTTATTCTTCTCAGTGGTCGAATCCTTAAGGCATCCAACAGGAGAGGGGAGAATGGGATGTTCTTCCTAGGTGAAAATAATACAAGTGGTCTACGGAGATACAGCAAGTTCGAGATAAGAAGAAATCCACAGCTCTCACTTGTTCCATTTTCATGACCAAGACAGCATTATGCTAGCTGAGGTGTTCAGTGAATGGTGAAGCATCCAGAACCCAGGACGGTGACCACAGTGAGTTTGAGCGACCTGGCGAAGCTGGAGAGCATGCACAGTGCAGAGTCCATGCCACACCGGGAGAATGCATGAGAATTTTGCCCACAAGCTGCATGCAATTCTCATAATGCATTCCAACTTAAACAAGTGTCTTCTGGTGCCCTTGGTACCCATTCTTAGTTCTCTCTACTTTTTAAAATATGTGCCAAAATATTAGAAAAACTCTGGTTGGAGCAACAAAGAGCTAAAGAAGAAATCAAGACAAGATATACAGTCCTAACCGGTTTGGCTCAGTGGATAGAGCGTCGGCCTGCAGACTCAAGGGTCCCAGGTTCAATTCCGGTCAAGGACATGTACCTTGGTTGCGGGCACATCCCCAGTAGGGGGTGTGCAGAAGGCAGCTGATTGATGGTTCTAACTCTCTATTCCTCTCCCTTCCTCTCTGTAAAAAATCAATAAAATATATTGGGGGGAAAAAAAAAGAGAAGATATACAACGCTACTGCCTGTGCGAATCACTACCCCTAAAGCTTATGACTCCCTACTCTTCCACAACCTCCACCCCCAAACTCACACACACAAAACAGGCTCCCATACCCTAGTTCCCGTATTGGCAACACAGGAAATGAAGTGAATATCCCTTCATGCACCACTATGACATTATTAAAGGCAAATATGGACTTACGTTGCTTCAACCACGACCCCGACTCCAGCAGGCCGCAAGGCTTCTGTGATTGCTACGGCAATCTGTTTCGTAAGGCGCTCTTGAACTGTGGATGTGACAAGGAGCTCAGTTTGCGTGTCTGACACAAACAGCTGAACGTTTTTGCTATCTCTAGGATATATAAAAATCTCAAAAAGCAGACTTCTGAGAGAGGTAAAAGCCGAGACACACCAGCTTTGACCAGCTGGCTCTGTCTGCTGCCTGGGGCACAGGAGGCCCCTGTCCCATCCCGGCCCTCAGTACAGGTGCTGACGAGAGCTCAGGAAGCCGGGCGCCCTCCAGCACCCATGGAGGGAATGGAGTAGAGCAGCAACTGTCTCTCGGGTGTGCAGCAAGACCAACAGAATATTGGTAACAAGCACCTCCACAGAGGAGAGCAGAGCGAATGAAAAAAATAGCTCGGCAACAGGATTAACAAGGGGGTTACAGTGTGATTATTGAATTGTACTTAGAGCAATGCTGAAAACCAGTGAGTTAACCTCGGCAGTTCCTGTGCTGAATACACAACTGATCTTTGAATACATACATTCACTGCAGCATTACATCCATTTGAAAGCTGACAAATTTCCCAAATGTCTATCAGAGCAGGGATTGATTAAATGAAGCCACAGCACAGCCGTGCAATGGAACACTGAACAGCGGGCAAAACAAATGAAATACTTACATGTCTGTGGGGGAAAATGTTTAAGATGTAAGCCGGGGCGGGGGGGGGGGGGGTGATAGAGAAAAAAGATAAGTGAAGCCCATTATGTATAAAATTAATTTATTTTAAAATGTTTGTATATGCATAAAAATGTGAAGGAATGTATATAGCAGACATTTTCTGTTTCATATTCCTATGAGGTTTTAATTTTATGTCATGCGTATTACACTTATAAGAACAATAAGAAAAAACTTTTTCAGTAAAAAAAAATGGTTTTAAAATTTACCTTGTAATCTTCTACTATAGATTTCTACAATCCTAAAAAAGAAAGATTTGTTTTAGTTAATGATAAAAATTTTAAAGTGAATTGCTAAGGCTTCCTCATAAGACTAAAAGGACTTCATTGAAGCAATTAAAGGATGTGAGCAGGAGATTAGTGCTTACAGGAGGATAGAAAGATATAAAAACTACAGGACAATAAAGAGGGAAGGTCTAATGGAGACCAACTAGGACAGAGTGGTGTGTCCCTATGTCCCCAAAGAGAGAGAGAATTAAGAGTATATAGTTCACTTATGAAAAACACAATTAGAGATGAGTAATTTTAAAGCTCTCAAGCCAAGACTGAAGTATTCTAATATATATTTTTTTTATTGATTTTAGAGAGGAAGAAAGAAGGAGAGAGAGATAGAAACATCAATGATAGAGAGAACCATTCAGCTGCCTCCTGCATGCCCCCTACTGGGGATCGAGCTCGAAACCCAGGCATGTGCCCTTGATCAGAATCGAACCCAGTACCCTTCAGTCCGCAGGCTGACACTCTATCCCAGTGATGGCCAACCTATTGGCCTCGGCGTGTCAGCATTTTGAAAAACCCTAACTTAACTCTGGTGCCGTGTCACATATAGAAATTTTTTGATATTTGCAACCATAGTAAAACAAAGACTTATATTTTTGATATTTATTTTATATATTTAAATGCCATTTAACAAAGAAAAATCAACCAAAAAAATGAGTTCGCATGTCACCTCTGACATGCGTGTCATAGGTTTGCCATCACTGTTCTATCCACTGAGCCAAACCAGCTAGGGCTCAAGTGTTCTAATTAAACATATTGTTTAATCAAAGCTTAAAGTTCAAGTTAAAAATAAATATTTGTTCATTAATAGCTAGACCATTGCCAACTACTGTGCCAACTAACCCTATTAGGATAATCAGATTAGAACTGAACAGACTTCTCCAAACATCTCTTTACATAATAGGTCCATCTGAGCAATCAATATGATTAACCCCCTCCCAAAATAAAAGCTGACTGATCTTCGCTTATAGCACCATCTGTCAAATGATGATTTTTCTCCATTCAACATCTTTCACTCTAGTTGTGAAATGTAAAGACGGCCACATGAATCACCCATTTTATTTCTTTCTCTATTATTATTGATTTTTAGAGAAAGGAAGGCAGAGAGAGAAAGAGAAAACATCTCTTTGTTGTCCCCCTTATTTATGCATTCATTTGGTTGCTTTTTGTCTGTGCCCTGACCGGGCATCAAACCCGCAACCTTGGCGTAATGAGGATGATGTTCTAACCCTGTGGTGGGCAAACTGCAGCTCGCGAGCCACATGCGACTCTTTGGCCCCTTGAGTGTGGCTCTTCCTAAGCCTTAGGAGTACCCTATAGTTTAAGTTTAAAAAATTTGGCTCGCAAAAGAAATTTCAATCGTTGTACTGTTGATATTTGGCTCTGTTGACTAATGAGTTTGCCGACTACTGGTAACCAACTGAGCAATCTGGCCAATGCTGTGAATCACCCATTTTAGAATAATAATTCACATTAAGGACCTTTTCTTTAAAATTTGGCCTTTTGGTCATGAATTTGGACTCAAGGTTCATGAATGAGGCATTTTAAGGCTCTTCTCTCCAATATGACCCTCCCTCATATAGAACTGACAACTTGCTCCCTTATACCTGTTACAGCAAATAAAGTCAATAAAGTGTCGGTTGCCCTATTCACCACTCAGCCTGAGGGCAGGAGCCACTCTGATTTCTTCTGTGTTCCCAGAAGGCAAACAACATTGAAGGAACTCCAATACATATATTTTTTTATTTTGTTTATTTAGTATAATTATTTTGAATCCTCACCAGAGGGTATTTTTTTTCCATTGATTTCTAGAGAGAGTGGAAGAAAGGAAGGAGGGGAAAAGAGAGAGGCAGAGAAACATGGAGGTGAGACTCATTGATTGGTGTGCCCCTACCAGTGCTGTGGAACCTGCAACCAAAGTACATGCCCTGGACCAGTAATTAAACCCGCGACCATTCAGTGTGCAAATATATAAAAAATATGTTCACCAAAGCATTTTTTTTCTTTCTTGACGGTATCTTCAAACTTTGTATGTATATCAAAGCCTGGTTAAATGAATTCTATTAATCAGTCAAAGAAGTACTATGTAACCATTAAAAATCTAGGACTTGGACTTTTTGGACTAAAATATGTACAAGGGATTTTGATTTATTTTAAATAGAATTTAAAAAGTTGTAGTACAAAATGTAGAGTATGATCTGCTATTTTTTTGGGGGGGGGGGAGGCTTTGTTTTGTTTTAGTAATTGTAAAGAGCTTTGTGTTTGTATTTTCATAGAAATTTTCCAGAGAATAGTGAAAGAAATATCTAGTTTTTATTCTGGGGAATAAAAATAGGAAAGAAAAACTTCCCTTTTACTCACTCATTTGTATTTAAATTTAACTGGTATGTATGTTACTTTTATAGTTGAGAAAGAAGGAGGGAAATGTTCTCTTTGTAATCTAATGCCTACCCTGCCTTTTAAACTATCTCCCCATTACCCCTGCCTACATTTCTTATTTCTAACAAACAGATGTGTTCCCTATCCACCAGACTATGCCTTGCTCCTACCCTCTGATTTGCCTTTGCTTAGGCATTAACTATACCTAGAGAAACTTCTCTTCCATTTAGAATTCTGCTCAGCCCTCCACCTCTGGGTCTCTTCAACCATGCCAGGCCACAGCTACCTTGCCTCCTCTAAACTGGGAGCTCCAAACTAGGTGTTTGCATGGCACCTGTTGCCTCATACTCTCACCCTCCTTGAGGGCGGAGGCTATGTCCTACTTCTCTCTGGCACAGTGTCCTTTCCCAGTGGGTGTTCAATAGACTAACCACGGCTACCACGAGGCACTGCAATTCAAAATTCAAGATTTAATTCTGTTCACTTGGTTATTAAGGCAAGAAAATTAATATATGTTCAATGGATTTTTAGCAACAAAAGGAATTTCTTTTTTCTTTCTTTTTTTTTAATATGGGATGTTTCACAGATTTGCGTGTCATCCTTGCACGGGGGCCATGCTAATCTTCTCTGTATCGTTCTGACTTCAGTATATGTGTTGCCAAAGCGAGCACAACTAAAGGACTTTCTATTCAAACTAGGTTTACTCTAGAATTCTAAAGTTCAACCAGATCAACTCACTTCTGGCATTTTCTTATTACTTTGGGCTTTACTGTTGGACTGATGATATTTGACTTCTGTGGCACTGAAAGGTCATTCGTTTAAAGGCAAGCATATAACACACTTCACATACAAGAGTAAAATGAACAGTGAAGTTTTGCAAAGACATTCAGTTTGCTTTATTACTCTTCATTCCCTGAATATTCCTACTTCTTACAAGGAATAAGCAGTTGGATAAAAACTTAGCCTTCTTGCCCTAGCTGGTTTGGCTCAGTGGATAGAGCATCTGCCTGTGGACTGAAGAGCCCCAGGTTCTATTCTAGTCAAGGGCACATGATCGGGTTGTGGGCTCAATCCCCAGTAGGGAGTATGCAGGAGGCAGCCAATCAATGATTCTCTCTCATCATTGATATATCTCTCTCTCCCTCTTCCTTCCTCTCTGAAATCAATAAAAATATATATTTTTTTAAAACTTAGCCTTCTTTCCCACTTAATAGACCCTTTATTCAATTTTTTTCAATAAATCTGAAACTAACATATACTCGGTCTTGGCTTAGCTTTCCTTTCTTTCCCCCACTTAAATTTTAATCCTATTAGTTTAAGGACAAATCTCCAGGCTAATAATCAACTCCTTTGTATTGTTTCATAAAAGCCGAATTATTTGAGATCTTTTCCTTGCACTAGGAAAGGAAATAACCAAAGGTTATTCCTTCTACTCCCAAGTTACCATGTAGTCCAAGATCTCACTGGATCACTCTGGAATCCACTTCCATAAAGTGTTACCCATGGTCTACATACAGTGGTCTTTGAGAGAAGGTGCTCACCTTAAGACCAAGGCCTGTGTAGTCTGCCAAGCTGTTTTATAATATGAAAACTCTCCACTACACACCTTTTACAGGTGGACAGGCTGTGACTGGCACCAGCAGTGCCAGAATACCTCCATGGGGAAGATGCAGGGTTGGCAATAGAAATTACAGTAGGGTTCGTTATCCCGTCACCACCAATACCCTTTCTCAGTTGCCCCTTGGCACCGCCATTGGGTACAAATCACTGAGAGGTGGAAGGAAATTCTGGATCTGTGTTAAGAGCCTTATTGCAGTGAAGCAATTACAGCTGAGACAATAACATCCTTTCATGGGCCAAGGAGCTCTGTCTAGTGGCAAGATTACTGACCAAGAACAAAGTCAGTCACCAGGAAAGTTAAATTTTTCTCTTCTACTGACTTTCTCCTTAATCCCTAGAGGAAATGAGTGAAAAGAAAGTAAAAAAGAACAGCCATGGAAGGCAACTGTCAGACTGCTGGGTGGTTTTACAGATTCGATATGGAATTGAAAAAGATCTGGACCATCTCAGGACTGTGGCAAAACTCAGTCCAGGTGGAGAAGAAGCAGAAACACATCAGAGCCACAGAAGAGTCACATGATCATGAAGGTCCATTTACTCCAATTTTGCTATGGTCACTATAACCTCAATCAAGTTATGAAAACTTAGCTTGGTTTGTTGTAAAAAGTATGTTTTGGAGGGGAAGCACTTGACTGTGTATTCATTACCTATTTTTCTTCATTTTGTTCTTAACTCTCTCTCAAAACACACACACACACACACACACACACACACACACACACACACACACACTCACCCTCCCAGGATTTCCCCAGTACTATTTCTATACAGAGAAATTACGAAAGGGGCATTAAAGTACTGATGATGGATCAATCCGAGATATATAAACATGGACCCTCAAGTTGACTGTCCATTAAATAGATTACCATACTCTTCTTCCTAAAACCCTAAAAATGATAGCAGGGGGAAAATGTTTAAAGGAAGGAACACACAGGATAAAGAATGGAAAAGAAGCTATAACAGAAAGGAAAGAAATGGGAGAGAGGATGGTAAGCACTATCTTGGAGTAGAGCTGAGAGGAAGACACAGAATTGTGTCTGCAGAGGCAATGAAACTAGAAGTGAACTGACTGGCCCTGTAGGACCCAAGAGAGATGCCTGAAGGCAGGGTTCAGACCCCAAATGATGGCTGTTGGATTAAAAGTCTGAAAACAGCCCTAACCAGTTTGGCTCAGTGGATAGAGCGTCAGCCTGCGAACTCAAGGGTCCCAGGTTCGATTCCGGTCAAGGGCATGTACCTTGGTTGCGGGCACATCCCCAGTAGGGAGTGTGCAGGAGGCAACTGATCGATGTTTCTCTCTCATCGATGTTTCTAATTCTCTATCCCTCTCCCTTCCTCTCTGTAAAAAGTCAATAAAATATTAAAAAATAAAAATAAATAAAAGTCTGAAAACAGTGCAGTGCAGTTACACCCCTGCCTGGGTTTCCTCCCCGACCCCTCACTGTTAGCTAAGCCACCCAGAAAGGACTGGAGCTCAGGTCCTCTCCAGTCAGGGAAGGTTCTACAGAGGAAGGCGTGAGCTAGGACTTCAAGGATATGCCAGTGGGTGGAAGGCTAGGAGACAGGGGCGGCGGGGAGGCAATGGGGGAAGTGAGGAAAAGGACATTTGTATTTTAGGTCCTAAGTCCTCTAAGTCTTTATAAATTTTAAGTTGCAATGTGACCTCCACATTAGATCCACACTGGTCAAGAAGGAGAGCCTGCTGAGATCCTCGCTGCGTAGGCCCAGGTCCTACATGCCTGTTTTCCTATTCACCGCACAGTCATGCTTACCTCGCAAGTTTGCTGAGGCCAAGGACTTGCTTGTTGGGAAGGTAACCGATGTGGACCTTCAGAGAAGAGACAGAAATTATGAGCCAAGTGAAAATACAGTGCTTTCTTGTGACAAAATAAGGAAATTAGGAGACACAATACAGAATACTTTTATGAAATTCAACTCATGAAAATGTGTCTTTAAAACATCTAGAAGACTTAAAATTTAAAAAATAAAGCACATATGTAGACATTTAAAATTTACATAAATGCAGTAAAAGGAAAATATATAAGAATGGTTCTATTAATAAAACAACAAATTTGAATATAGTCATGGTATTTCCTGGTGAAGTTAAATTCTCTTTACAATTCATAAAGTCTTTCCTTATTGAGGGGAAATATCAAGAAAGTGCAAATTATCCTGCAACAAAGTAAACTGTAGGCAGGCCCAGCCAGTGTGGCTCAGTGGTTGAGCATCAACCCATGAACCAACAGGTCCCCAATTCGATTCCTGGTCAGGGCACATGTCCAATTGCAGGCTAGATCCCCAGTGGGGGGAGTGCAGGAGGCAGCCAATCGATGTCCCTCTTTCATCGATGCTTCTATCTCTCTCTCTCTCCCTCTCTCTTTAAAATCAATAAAAAACATTTTTTAAGTGGAGCCAGAAAAGCCTCCTCTAAATGGTTGAAACTATAACTTTAAAGACTGTCATTCCACACATCACTGTAGCCTTAAAGATCCCACCCTGTTGTACAGAAAGAGGGGTTCCACTCCCTTTGTCACACATGGCGGCCTCGATTCTAAGCTGCTGGAGCGTACCAGCTTCCCAGCTAGAGAAGAGCCCGGGGGCAAATGTGACTGCGCAAGAACCTGGATCCTCACACTAATGTTCTTATAGAATCTACTATAAAGCAAAGCCATTTCTGTAATCTTAATAGGCACTGGTTAATATCTAATATGTAAATGTTACTTCTCTTTGAGCCATACATTAGGTATGGAGAAAACATTAGTTCTCCATAAAGGCTAAAAGTAAATGGTCATTGTAGGCCATCAATTAACCTAATATAAAATTATAGACTTATTTGCATCATGGTGAGCCAGCATTTGTTGCATTTGTTCACCTACTTTTCTATACTTATGAATAATTGATATAGTAGTAATTAGTGATTTTTCATCTACTACCACTATGCTGTGGGAGTTTGCGAATACCTACGCATCACCTTCCTGGTCAGCAGGAGGACAAAGGAAAGTAGCTCCTAAATGTTAGGTATTTCAAAGAAAATTAGAGAGTTAAAACTCTCCCATAGAATCAAAGCCTTTGCACCACTTGAAATGTTTATCCAGCGGTTCTCAACCTGTGGGTCGCGACCCCTTTGGCAGTCAAACGACCCTTTCACAAGGGTCACCTAAGACCATCCTGCATATCAGATATTTACATTACGATTCATAACAGTAGCAACATTAGTTATGAAGTAGCCACGAAAATAATTTTATGGTTGGGTCACAACATGAGGAACTGTATTTAAAGGGCCAGAAGGTTGAGAACCCTGGAACTTTATACTAACATGCAGAGCTATAATCTGTGCATTGCTTGTACTATTTTTGGTCTTCCTAAAGATCCTAAGCCATTTAAATGTCCGCTTTAGAAAATCATCACTGAATATTGTATTTAAAACAGAATTAGCAAAAACACAAACACAGAGGTGCTCCTAGCAGAAGGTAATAGGCTATAGTGTTGAGATACTGTGATTTGTAAAAAATATGTACTTGGTCTTCATCCACCATTCCTGACTCATAGCTCCCAAAATCCTTGGAATTTTTCAAGTATTGAGAGGTGGGGGAGGGAGTGTATTTTGTTATGTTAACGAAGTGGCTTGGACAGCACCTAAGAATGGGGCCTGGTTGCCAATGGAACCTACTAAGTGATTAAAGGATTGGAGCTTCCAGTCCCACCCCACCTCCACACATACCACCCAGGAGGGGAGAGGGGCTGGAGGTTGGATCTATTGACAATGGCCAGTGATTTAATCAATCGTGACTATACAATGAAGACTCCATAATAACACAAGAGGATGGAGTTCAGAGAGCTTCCCAGTTGCTGAATTCCCAATAAGCCAGTAACCTAGTAAGTAACATGTTTCTTTGAGTACTTGTGAGCCATTCTAGCAAATTAATCAAACCCAAGGAAAGGGTTGTTGGAACCTCCAATCTGTAGCCAGTTGGTCAGAAGCACAGATCTGAATCTGGGCTTTCAGCTGGCTTCTAAAGTGTGTGTGTTGGCAGGATGGGGCTCCAGGCTG